CATGCATAGATCTCTTTAGCGCAGGCCTCTATTTCCAACAGAGCAGCAGATTCATCATTAGGCATAAATGGCACATAAATTTGGCAATCATCGGCATACAGGTGGAACTTAAGGCCATGTTTTCGAATTATGTCACCAAGGGGGGCCGTATATAAGCTGTAAAGGATTGGACCCAGTACTGATCCTTGTGGCATAATAACCCAGAATGTTATTATATAAGGGCACGAAAAAAGGTAATTTGTAGCATCGTTGAGAAAGTTGAAAAACTTACGTTTCGGACCTTTGTCTTTCGTCGGAGTAAAAATGTGCGTAATATACGTACATTTTTCCGGGTCGTGTTGTCTGAATATTGCTTCTGGTTGTTAATAATTGTTGGTCAAAGAAAATGTAAACTGGGGGCATGGATGCTGGCCGAAAATGTTAACGCCCGCAAGAGAGACTTCTTTAGGTATCGCTGACCCAATAACAAATGTTTTTTAACTACAGGCCAAGGTTTGAGAACAGTGATTTCCTGGGACAGTTACGAGCTGAAAGAAGAGTTGCGAACGAAATAGGTCTAGACCTTCGTGCCAAATTCCTCAAAAATGTGGAAACGCTGTTACAGTCATTTCACCAAAGCGGCACATGTGATACACGCGATCTTAAGCCCACTAATGGCGATGCAATTGAAGTTATTAGAATGAAAATGAAGAGCGAGGCACAGAAAGTGCTCCGTGTACTCGATGGTCGGGTTGAAGATGATTTCTCAGAGTCAGAATTCGAAAAGCCACATGATGAAGAGTTAGAAGACACAAGCGCCAGATGCCACGTGGGTTCAGACTCACCAAAACAGCCTGGCTCGAAAAAGACGTATCGATACAAATGTCCAGTAAGTAATACTGTTTGTTATCAGCATAATACAGATTAATGTCGTCTCCGTAAGTTAAATCCAAAAAATTAATAAATAAGTCATCAAAAAGCAGTCATATATACAGTCGGGTTACCATGGTGATATTTAAAGCTGCATCACTTCTGTTGACTTATAGTTCATATCAAAGTTTGATTTTCTAGTGACATAATTTATGACTCGGTATATTATTTTGATTGCCATGCAAAGGGAATTGTTTGTTATTTTAGTGATTCATGGATGTGGAGCTCAGCATGTAGGTCCTGTAAAAATATTTTGTATTTTCCATAACTTTATTGTGTGTTTTATTCATTTTACAGATTTGTAACGAAAACTACACACACATTGCGAACCATTTGAAGTTTTTTCACAAACTCAAAAAGGAAGATGTCTCAAAAATAAGACTTCAAGAAAAGAGCAAAAGAATCAGGTGAGATACATGTATATAGTTGTGTCAATAAATAGATATCAGTGTGCATTGATCATTCATATTTGAAAACTTTTAGTAATATTTCCAAATTTGTTGATACAATGCATTGTTCTTAGTTGAACTATCTCTAAAAAATATTTATTTCATTGTTAAAGATATTCATTTCCTAAATTTTGTGGTTTTAAAACACATACAACTTCCAAAATTCCATGTATTGTACTTTTTTAAATAAAAAAACTTGGAAAAATGCTACTTTGCAAGCACTGTGACTGTACAGTGTGTGGTTCTTTCTGATGTAACATCCATGAGAATGTAATTGAATTTCTTACTTTTAATCTAAATTAGAAAAGTCCTAAGTAATCGGCAAGAGAAAAAAGTAATATCAAGATTATTACAGTAGCCCTACTCATCAGAACAAAGATTGTGATTCGCCCAAGCAACAAAGAAAGGCAGATAGAACAATGACTACAAAAAGGAAGAGGCATTGTTCGACATTATCCTGCTTTTCAATGATTTTATTCTTTTTGCCCTAGCACCAGCTTCATTCTAACAGTAGTGGGCGCCTCGATTATTACAATAGAAATGTAGTAAATAGTTTTTTTGGTATGTAATGTCCATGCTGCCTCATAATCACAAATAGTGAGTAAAATATTAAGCTGTTGTGAAAATGCAAATGTGGATGTTGTAAGGCCAATATGTTTTTTGTATATAAATTCATCTAAAACAGCCTATTCTTTGTATCAAGAAATCCCTTTTCACTAATCATATTATTCATCTTACATCTTCAGTAACAAACAGGTATTACAACCATTTTAAATTATTGTTTTCTCTTCTAGAGAAGCAAAGAGTGGAAATAAGAGGCCATTGCGACCTTGCCCAGTTAAGTCATGCAAGTGGGAAGGTTACCGAATGGATTATCATTTGCCACAGAAGCACAACATAAAGAAAGGGTCAAAAAGGTACAAGGCTCTTACCTCTCCATAATTTAACCAAAAATCAAAGACTGTACTGATGAGTCAGAGACTACATGCAAGCATACCTCAGGCTCATACAAAAAAGGGAAATAAAATGTATGTTTTACAGTAAGAATCACAAAACCATGACCAGACAAATATTTCAGGAATGGTTGTATCGTTCCTTGGCCAATCACAGACAAACAACATTCCTGAAAAATGTAATTGATTTGCACTGTAACGATAATGATAAGTAAATTCATAATACCATAATTAATGTACCTAAGTGCCAAGATCTATTTTATAGACTGACAAATTATTTCATTGTGTTGAAATATTTGAATATTGTTCAATTTTTGTTGTAGTGTACATGTTTTCAAAACCAAAAATAAACTGAAGTCAGATAGATTTATAGGTTATTTTGATAACACATATAGTTCATTTTCCACTGTTTCAGTGTATTTGTTTCACAAATAAGGATATTCTGCCATCTTGTAAGTCTGAGTATATTATGTTTTTATTGAAAGGAATGAAATTGTCTAGTTGTTCTTTAGTCATTGAAAGGAAATCTCTTTTACAGTTGTGAAAAGTTACTTTGAAATTCTCAAATTAATCATATATCAATGTAATAATATGAACTATCATAATAAATTATTCATAATTTTACTGATTTTTGATTGCATGCACAATTACAAAAACATTTATACAATAATTGTACGTCAGTAGAGCATTTTCACAAGTTCCATATTATTTATTACTTTAATATTGAACATCAAACAGTATCAACAAAATATATTGTTTTTCCCGTTACTACTGCAAAACGACCATTAATGCTGTATGCTAACATGAAAATAAGCTATGAAAATTTGTACATGCTTCCCAACTAGATTATGAGTAGTCTTATTAATATTTGCTGGTAAGATAAGAAACTTTCTTATCGCTGACAATGAGTTTAAAACGTCCACAGAAATAACATTTGGCAAATTCTGTTGATCCTGGCACTGCAGTTTTAATTTACAAAACTCAACAATTGCATTTGATGTGGCAATTAAAAGACCAACATCTGAACTATTCCTTGTCTTTTATTCTATTTAGATTGTTAATGTTAAATGAGCTCTAATAAAAAGTCAAATACTAAAATGGAAAGCACTGTTTGAGTGAATGATACCAATAGTGGCCAATAATTAATTGTGCAGCTGTGATCGGTTTATCATCTCCAGCCTTGAAATGATTCGTTGTCTGCAACCTTTATTATCACTATCCTTTCTAACTATGCACATTTCACACAACTACAGACAGTAGTCAAGTCCTAAAGAAAACATTGCACACTATTGAGGCTGGATATGGCAAACCCAATAGTGTAAATTGTGTGTTTTTAAGTAACCCGGGTATCAGAGGTCTGAGAGCTAGGGAGAGAGGAACCCCTTATCTCAATCTCATTCACAAGTACAGATGTATACTGACAAAGTGTTGGAAAAATATCCAAAATACTCCCAGACCAAAATATATCAATTAACAGCAAATTAAAAAAATAAAAAAACAAATAAATCAATACATATTGTTTTCAGCAATTAAATTTCACAATCAGGCATTCCTGTCAATCACAAAATGTATGAAAACCTTTTATAAAGAATAATGTGGACTGAAAAATATAGGAAATTTTGTACAATATTTGTGTAAGTTGCAGTTTTGAATGTTATAGTAACTTCCCAAAAGATATAATACATAGAGGCTTACAATAGAAGCTTAGACAGAAAAATGGAAATATTTAAAAACTTCAAATTAAAGTATTGTGTGTATAAAAGTAGGTGTTTCAGAGTTTTTATTTCCCTTACTCCAAAAGTGGAGATATCAATGAATCAATTTTTCTACAAATAACCAAATTTTGTTTAAAAAGTTAGAAATAAGTTAGCTACTGTAACAGTAGCTAGTTTTCAAAATAAGCAATAATAACCCATTGAAAATTGTTTTGCAAATTGTGAGAAACTGGTTCTAGAATGTTTTACAACCATGTTTGCTTATTATGAAAGTGGTACTCACTCACTCCCAGGTAACCATGCAAAGATACCCTCTCCTAGCTCTGTTGCCCAGGGGTACCAGATTAGCAATAAAACTGAGATACAAGGAAAGAATGCTTACCAATATAAAACATGTTGATCTTGACATTTTTTTAAAATTTTATAATCTCAGAAGAGTACATGTTGAAGGAACTAAAATTGAAATTGTGTAAATTTGCCTTTAACACAAACATTTAGTTCTCAAGCTTGATTTGTTGCATAAGAATTGATACATAACTAGTACTGCAATTATAATCTCAAAATAAATAAATTAAAAATCTTCAGGGTTGACTCGAGTTAATCTTCTTATGGCTTGCTCTATGGCAGTTTCGAACAATGCATCCAATTTGTATGTGCCATTTTGGGATGGCATTGCATAATACAAGTGGTAGAGAGGTGTGCCATTCTCGAGCTTGATGGCATTAAGCTTGGTGACACTGTTGGTCATGTCAGTGAGTAGTCGATATTCATTAGATGATGATGGAATCCTGTCTAGCCAGTGTCCTTTTAGTGCTTTGCCACTTGATGCTTTTAGAATAGTGCCCAATTTCAGCGAGCACAAAAAAAGCCAAAACTTCTCATCCTCTCCTCCACTCAGCACAGGAAGGATGACACCACCATCATGCTCTGTGTCATGTTGAACATTGTGCCAAAGCCCCTTCCATGCATCTGTATCAAAATATGTGATGCCGTATGACTGTAGGATCCACATTTCACGATTACTGAATGTGAGATCTACAACCTCGGTTTCTTCTTCTTTTATGACACCACCACCACTAAGTGCACGCCTTGACACTCTGTCTCCAGCAATATGGGCTAACAGGGATGCCAGTATTTGTTGAGTTGCTTCTGTTGGGATGGGCTCTTGTTCAATTGGAGTCTCAACAGCATCATCACTATGTCCTTGCAATGGGGCTGGTTTGAAGATGATGCTTTCTTTAGCCTCAAGAATTCTCCTCATTTGCATCCCGCCATACATGAAAGGCTTCCGAAAAGGCAAATCTTCAGGAAGTCCCTCAACCTCAAAACCACCCTTGAGGTATGGCACTCTTGAAGGTTTTCCAACCATTTGACCTAAAGGTAATGAGAAAACTAAGTCAGCATATAATAATTATGTGTGCATATGGATTTCATCATACAGGTGTTATTTTTGATGATTACAATACATTCTTCATGATCTTTTAATGGTAGCTAACATACATCATATTCATGATTCATACATGCACTTACAAACTCTCAAGAGAATTTTAACCTAAAAACAAGCTTCTGTATATAATAATTCTGTTTCTGTTGTGAATAGTCTATCAAAGAAAATATATGGGTAAGCAAATAAAAAGTTGAAGTTGAAAAACGAATTGATTACTACCAGTATTTGTGAACCTGTTCTTTTTTGCAATTTTAGCACTAAGATTTCGGAGAATGTAATAGTTTTCTAGGGCTGTTGAGACTTCCCAAAACTCGCCTATTTTGATGAAAATATTGTCTGGTGTATCCTTTTAGAGTTTTTTTGTGATATAGTTAGCATAACTCCATAGATACCCCTGATAACAATCATCTAAAGGCTTTCAATTGGCTGTACCATTAAAAGCAACTATAGAATGATTAAGAAACCTGTATCACTGAGAACAGAAAGTTTTATATAACATTGGAGGACCTCTAATAATTATTCACTATGGCTTGCCCTTATAGGAAAATAGCAATATGACATCATTAACATTTTTGAGTAATTATGATATTAATGATAATGTAAAAGCTAATATAAATATTCTCAAACCATAACAAGATTGAGTATATTGGTGGTATTTAATGATGTTGGTCCCAAGACCCAAACAACAATATCTTTTATAACATTTATGAATAATAATGTAGACTTTATAATAATTAACTAGTGGGGTATACTCCATGTGGACTTGAAAAGATTTAAAAGTGCTTGATTAGTATATAAAGCTATACTCTGAATGTGAAAGAAAAAAATTGGAAATGGATTTGAATAGTCAATACCCTGTTATTTGACACAGAGCTTGAAACCATTCCAACTTTTTGCATTCCAGCACAAACCTTTTCATTAATAACTATTAGTTAATTATCTGCGAGTGTGTACTCTCATATATTTGCTATGATAGCCAATATATGGGATTACACACTCCCAGAGAATTAACTAATAATTATTAATGAAGAGGTGTGTGCTGGAATCCAAAAAGTTGTAATCACAAAAACGTGCATGGAATGGAATCACACAAATGCATGCATACAATAATCATTGCAATCTTACTGTATTTTTGGTTGAATAGTGCTGTTATGTCTTTATATGTAACATCTTTGTTGTCTGCACCTGTAAATAAACATAATTTAGATGTTACTAACTACTCCGAGGGGATATTCCAACTGGTTTAGGGAATATGGGTGCTCCACAGGATCCTGATAATATTACCCTTGTGACAAATAAAAATATTTTTTGATAATAACCTATCAGATCCGAAAGAGTTTAATTCTTGGGTGGTGGTCACTGTAATTGAGGATAGTTGGTTATTTAGCATTGTAATGGTATGTGTATACCCTGAATTACTTGACAGGAACTGTAGACAAAGTTGGAAATGTAGTTCAAAAGGATACCCTATTTATGACTCAAAGCTTAAGCTTGAAAAACCATACCCTGTTCTGCAGATCATTCCCATATTCCGGAAGTCAGTATATGGCACAACCCCCAGCATCTTACAATTTACTCATGAAACTTTATTACATGTGACCTACATGGAGGTGTTAGATTTTGCAGAACTCAAACAATAGTGCAGAAATACTGCAAAAAATTAGTGAAAAGCTTACCACCAAAATGGCTTTTGAATTTAAACATCAACTCGGGATTCCTTGACAAAAAGTCTTGACCTGCAGGGGATCCAAAACCAAACAACTGTCCATCAGGATCTTTTTGTAGTACCGCAGTGCAACAGCCATATCCATCAAGAATGTTTACCTATAAGAGACAGTTCAACAGTTTCAAATGAACAGGCAAATATATTTTCAGCATTATGAAATAATGATGGAGTTAACAAGAAGCTTATTTAAGCTGACAGGAAAGAATTTAACAACTCGATGATTAAGGATTTAATTCTGCGACTACTTTATTCTTTTTTCCTTCTTTCTTCCTCTTCTCCAACTTTCTATACTTCAATCTTTGTTTTTTACCGTATTCATATGGATTTTTTTTATCTTTGTTCGTTTTTTATGCAAAATTTATATGCTCAATTACTAACAGGATCTATCGATGTGGGGATCTGAAGTTTAACTTTTCACATTTGCCCCGACCCGTGTTGTTGAAGTATTTTGAGAACTGATTGAAATAAGTCAATGGAATCAATGTGGAATATAATATTTTGACACTCGTCAAACGCCGAGGAATTGAAAATAATATAATATGACTCACCAGCTTAATTATTTGATCTCTTATCTTTTTGACGGTCCTTTCAATATCTTCGGGATTCAACTCGCCCGCTATATTCTGCGAACTCTTATATAAAATTTTTTCTTCAGCAGTGAGTTTCGCCCACTCTTTGGCAGCAAACGAATTTCTTTCTACCATAGAAAGGTTTCGACACTGATCTAGAATTTAAATACAAAGTGTGCATGAGCGTTTAGTTTAATTACTCTCTTGTTTAGCTCTAAACTACTTTTCCAATTACTAAAGAACGACAAAAACCCTACTCGATCAAGCATAGCTTGGATTAATTTCACTTTGAAAAGAAACATAAAGTTTAAAACGGGTTTAACTTCTGTGTTGTTTGTTCGTAATATTATGAATGGCGTAGAAGAATATTTCATAAACTTTTACCTTTGTTGAACAGCTCCTTACAAAAGTTATTGTATGACGTGGGAGCTCGTATGCAGGGGATGCTTTTTACGCTTTTTGCTGACGGTGCGGTATCTTGATCACTCGAAGTCGAACTTGCCGCTGCTTTTCTCTTCTTTCGTTCGCTTCCAATCCAATTCTAAATATTCAATCAAAAATAAAGAACTAATAGTAAATCGAATCGGTTTTTATTGAATTCAAAAGTGTATAACTAATTTATTTAATAGTAAAAACGCTTGGAAGATGTCACTACGGTGCGTGACATTCGCGGCAACCACCAGTAAAAGGGTCCGAAACACACGCCTTACCAGCGAGATGACAGAAAAGGATCCAAGCAACATTCCATATTTACGCTACTATCTAACATAAATATATGGAATCTATAAAAGCATTTTAACCAATAAAGTCTTACCTTTACAGTTTCCTTAGTCACTTTGGCTTCTGCACTGGCCTGTTCAATGAGATCGTTGTGGGCTTGACCCTTTCCAGTCATGCCTTGGTCAAAATACCGAGACAAAATGGATCTTTGAACATCAGTTAACAGATTATTTTTCCTTGATGAAGCCATGATTAAACGATTGGTACAATACTTAAGTCACGATTGACTATGATCTAGATTAGCTATGGTCACGATCAAACGCTGGATAGAGGATATGCGATCTCTTGAGAAAGATCAGCTCTTGTTGACATGGTAACAGAACGACCGAAATGAAATCTGGGAATGTTTGACAACGAGAATGCTAAGAATGTATTTTGAAGTGGGCTGAGCCCAGCAAGGGAAATTTCTTTCTCCGGGGTGAGCCCATTTCCTCCGAGTGAACCGGGTGACACGGAATATAAAAGTCCAAGCCAAATTCAAGACTCTAGCATTTATAAACTTAGCTTTAAAATTTTCGTGCTAAGGTTTTGAGTACGATTTGTTTTACTGAATTGATTTATTTTGAATTTGTTGCCATTGATTTGGTAGCAAGAGTGCGAGAGAGTTCAGATAAGTGGCTCGCTGTCAGGCACGTTTGCCACACTAATCAAATAACGTCTGGAACTGGATGAGAAATACATCTCCAAATTTACTTTTTTCTGCCCTGGGAAGACTAAAACTTCTACAAACAAAAAGAAATAAAGAGATGAATAAACGAATCTAAAGATAAAGATATATTAACCACTTAAAAAAAACCTTAACTTTCTCAGAAGTGAGACCTCGTGCTTTGTTTACACTTGGCAATAAACTGTACTCATGCATAAACGATTAACAATAACATAAGCATCCGTTTATGAAATACTCCCCACGATCAACTGAAGCTCTTCAAGTCTTTTTCGCCGCTTCGATGTGTTCCCAGCTAGTGAAAACTCGATACTATGGCTTGTGGCTCAACGAAAACTATCTATGAAATCAATGATCTGTATGGAATGTTTAAAATCATGAAGGCCCTTAATATTTCATCGAAAGGGTTAAAACCGTTAGAAGAGTTGAAAACTCAGGTTATCACTGCATTAAACCAGTCTCAAACTAAGCCAAAGTGGGCCGCAGGTCAGGTAAGCATTCTTTTGAACTTCTATGGTTAAAAAGGCCATTTTGCTTTCGGGGAGTGATTTGAAATGGCTTTTCGTCAAGATATGCTTAACCAACAACGAATGTAAACGCAACGACTCGTTTTACTTGTAATGGTTCGTACTCCACAGCTCAAACCTTCATCGTGGAAACTATCTGCCCGAGTAGTTAGAAAAGGGCGATTCTGGCACATTTTGAAAACAACCTTGATTTCAAGGCAACTCATGAATTTTAACATTGATTATATGTCAACCTTCAAATCAACTTTGATTATAAAAAACAGTTTTTGCACATTTTGAAAACAACATTGATTTCAAGGCAACTTGAGTTTTTCACAGGTGAACTATAATCATAATGTGTCTCTAGTGACTTATGAGTGATTCTAATCTTTTTTTTTAAATCCTTCTTTAATCTGCTTCTTAATGGTGTCAACATCAACTTCGTTTGCTTTTCTCCTAAGCTGGTTTTTGAATGAATAATACTGTTCGATCTCACGCAAAATCAAGTCCAACTCAACATCAGAGATTCATCCATCTTACACTGCATTTGAAGACAAACTACTGATCGCAAGGTGTTTTGCCCCACCGATTGAAATTGTTTTCTGATGCTTCAATTCGATTTTTTTTTCTATAATCTTCCCGAATTGTAATATTATCCTCCGGTATTGTTGGATAAAGTTTTGGAGCGCTTGGCTCAAGGCTTGGGCCATGAGGCACTTCGTTCCCAAGAACCTCATGCTAAGGGTCGCGAAGCGTCCCAATCTGCTCTTGCCCCGAAGGGCTTAGCAAAATATTTTCAGCAGACATTTTAGAAATGGTATCTCTAAATCAAACCTCACTGGCATACCATTGAAATTAATGATCTCCTTATTCTGACGAGATACGAAATTCGTATGGATGTGATATCCTTCCTTCGTGATATTTTTCGTAACATAGGATACGGTGGAGAATAGTCTACCTTTTCAAACTGGCTCTCAGCGATGTCAAAGCAACCAAGAACCCTTGTGGGTTCCCCATTGAATAGGTTTTCATCCTTGTCCAAAAGATCACAGTAGAAAAGGTTAGTGTTGAGAGAAGTAAATCGACCAGTGAGATTTCTCTCTTGCAAACGCTGATCAATCCCGAGGAGAAAATAAATATCTCTATCAAGTTTAACATTCTTTTTGTAGGGATTAAGGATTACCATTCCTGCCATTAAATGATTCATTGTGACTTTAAATCCTCTGCCTTCACCTGTTATTTTCCTGTGGGCTTTCACAGGGCTCTCAAGAGTGTATTTGCTTGAAAGAATTGTTTCAACACTTGCATTGCTTTGTCTGTCGAAGATCGATATATCTCTCTTTGGTTTCAAATTATACCATGATTTATAGAGATAAAGAGTCAAAATTCTGAATAGTTTGATTTACCGAGAAGTTCGGAGCGAACCGTGATCATTCGAATTTGCCAAAATTATCAATAAAATCATTTTGGTGAAAAAAGCAATAAAAATTGTTTAACTCTTCGAGTTTCTATCCCTTGGGACTTGCGTGACTAAGATCAGATGAAGCGAGGAAAATTGCAGATTAAGCATGGACAAAAGCCGGGAATGATTTCAAAGCACGCGTACGATATCCAAATGCAGACCTGAGCAAGTTCAGTGCGCAAATGTCGTTCAATTATAAAAGATTGGCAACAGCTGAAATTTGCTTTAGCCTTAGGCCGAGCCCGTTGGGGTTAAATCAAGGCCTGATCAATTCAAAGGTTTACTTCCAACACCTTTAAAAAATATACCTTCAACTGTTTTTCGTTTTTGAACGATAAAAAGGCGATTTTCAGCTTGCAGTCTGATGCTATGAAATCAAGACAGGAAGAAACTAATGCTGATAAATTTTCGGCCAAGAAGGAAACTTTAAAAAAAAGTTGAAGCTTCTCGAGTTTGTGATTGTTACCCTTGCCTTTGCCGTACCCTTGCAACTAGGTTGCGGTTAATTTTAGAAGATCAACTACTATAAGCAAAGCCTCCTGCAAAATCCCTTCATCCTTTGCGCGATCACTAATTTTTTTTTCAGCACAGAGAGTAATAGTAAGAAAGAATATAATTTCTGAGCTCAGGCGTGGAACACATAAAGGTGGGGTGATACGATTTTTTAACGCTCACATCGAAGTCACCTAAAAGGACTCAAACCCAAAAGACGTTGCGATTTCGCACGGCTCCGACGCTCTATCACCAACCCACAGAGGACTAGAGAAGAGGGTAGGAAATATTAAGTGCTTTAAAGAAGTTCAGGAGATATGGATGGAGGAAAGAGAATAGCAGAATTTCCCGTTGTCATGCTTCGTGATAAACAACTCAGATTATGCTCTCAAGTAAATGATTCATAATGAGACACTAACGGTTTTACGTAATAAAGTTTTTGTCTGGTCAAATGAAATACTGGCTAATCCCAGTTTTGTCTTCTTAGCTTTCACGAATCTTTTTTTAACAGGGATCTTCGTCAGTTTCACACTAGAGCTCGAAATCTCCCCAGGAGACGAATACTGTTCCTCTTAGTTTAAGGGAGATACCATTTCCCTCTTGAAGGCATTACACTGATCTGGAATAACATTTTTGCAGGTAAACTGTTGTTTCGGGCTTTTGCTCTTCATCAAAGGGAATGATAACGGTCAGCAATGCTCCATTGACGCACAGGGTGAAAGAGTGTTTATTTTTGGAGTAAGTAGTTCCGTTACATAACGCATTTTCAGTTGTTTATCACGTGGGCTGCTTCAACAGGATATTGCAGGAGTTTTTTCTGATTGAAATCAAACAATGATTTCTTGTAATAATAAAATCCGTCAGGCAAAAGACGCGGCTTTGATTCGACATCACGAGGAATTTAAACATTTCGAATGGGCTTGAAAACAATCGAGCAGATAAAGGGAAGGTCTTTCTCGAGCACCTGGACAGGATTAGAGACTTTCTTTGCTAGGAAAAAGCAATTATGAATTCCAATTTACAGCCAGGTTTGATGCATATTTTTGAGATATCCATCGTATTTGATAAAACTTTGTGATGAAAATTTTAAAATCGTGTTCTACTTTGACAAGTTTGAATTCAACGTCGGAGATTCTTTCAAATCTTTCATTTTCATGGAGAGGGCATTGCTTCTAAACACTATGGAGTTTTTCCATGAGAAATTTTGTCAGGCGATTTTGATCTGCAATTTATAAGGCATCATCACATACTGGGTAAAATCACTTGAACCAACGTTGCAACACTCGCTGTATATTTATTACTCAAAATATCTTTTCATATCAAGTCGAGGCACAATTACGCTCACTGAGCTGACTGAGCTATTTAACCTAACCTCTTAAACCTCGCTGTAAAATTTATAGAACATAACTCATTTGTTTTCCATACTGGGAATAATGACATACTTTCTAAGAGCTAAGTGAATGTATGTGAGTAATGAATTAAACTACAATGAATATTTATGTCTGCATTTAGCTACACATTTTGATGTATACAACATCCCTAGGATGAGGATTTGTTACAAATTATCCTCGTCTTTCATTAATACTTGTTCTCTGCGTAACTTAAGATATTACGTCTTTCAAAAAAAAGCAGAGATCCGACGTTTGATTTGATTTTGCTATTCAACTTTTAAAATTTAAGCTACATAAACTAAGACTACCAGTTAGTATCACGGGCATTTTTTCCTATACGGTTTCTTGTTTTGATAAGGAATAAGAAACTGATCAGAACCATATTTTTATTCAAGCTGTCGGCAATCGGTGGCCATATTTCAATGTGATGGCGGCAGCATCGCATACTAATTAGCAATAACTTTCACCGATTTCATTTCACCTCAAGAGACGGTCTAAAACTACGACACACTTTTTATATTCTAATTTTTCTAGATTTTGGCTCAGCAGAGCTCTGAAACCGTCCATTGTCAGCTTTACTAGGTGGTATATTGCCTATCTAACAAGTTATCTTGTTCCTTCCGAATTTCGAGTGTTAGATAACGAGGAACACAAATTTTGTTGCGTAAAGGAACCGGACAATGAAACTTCCATTGGGCGAAACCTAACGAACTTTGGGCATGGAAAAATGACAAGCACGCCTTGGCATTTGGGGACACCACACGGCGTAGTAAACCAAACTGATTTGCAGTAGACTAATTCTATGATAAACGAGTTTATGGAAGGAATTTTCCTTTGTTTTCCTAAAGAAAATTGGGCACGAACTTGAAATTCTCCTGTTGCTGTAACTTTTAGGTCTTCATGCAACTAACTTCGGTCTTTCGACCGCTACAAAGATTTCTCACCATATGAACCTGCACTATGCTACCTACCATGCCCGAAGGAACTTTGGGCATGAAAAAATGACAAGCACGCCTTGGCATTTGGGGACACCACATGGCGTAGTAAACCAAACTGATTTGCAATAGACTAATTCTATGATAAACAAGTTTATGGAAGGAATCTTCCTTTGTTTTCCTAAAGAAAACTGGGCTCGAACGTGAAATTCTCCTGTTGCTGTAACTTTAAGTCCTCATGCGACTAACTTCGGTCTTTCGACCGCTACAAAGATTTCTTACCATATGAACCCGCGCTTTGCGACCTACCATATTGTTAAGCTTTATCAGTCCTGCCTCTGAAAATTTGACTCCAAAGAGGACAAAAATGCAGAACATATGCTTAGCGAAAATTGACTGCTCAAGCAGGTTTTAAGACTGCTCTTGGCCCTCATGTTGTCTTCTTCTTACTATTATCAATATCTTCGTTTTTATAGAAAACATTAGCATAAACACGTGCTGTTTATTCTTCTCATCGTTATAGACGGCAAGCCTCAACTAAAATATAGTGAAACAGCAACGGATGAGTCTCAAGATGATTATAGTGCTAGCTTTGTTTTTACTTTCAAGATGGTTTCGGTGGTGGTGTCTATCGCACTGGTTGTGTTTTCCTCCAAGCAGACTCCAACCTACGTAATCTGTTCCAGCTTTCCTCAGCAGTTAATCGGGCACTTGGTTCACCTTCCCAGCATGTTTCCATGACTTTTGTCCAAACTTGCCATGGACGGTCTTTACCCTCTAAATGTGTTGGGCGGAGTCCCCTCTTTAGCCTTTGTAAGTGCTGTGAATGACTGGTGATCGAGCTTTGAAAAGCTTTCTCACAGAACCACAATTCCCAAAGCAAAATACTGAAGCTAAACATATCAGACTTACTGTCGTAGTTTCGACACTTACTTTCCAACACTTCAGGTGCTAGATAACGGGTGTTATCTTCTATGATATCTTTATTCACTCTAAATGAACCGCTGCCGATGCCTTTGAGCTTCACGTTTTCGTCTTGGGTAAGCTGAAATATTAGATGTAATGAGTAAGGTTTTTCCATCTTTAAATTATTGGTTGTGGCTATAATTGGAATTGTGTGTGCGATTTTAGCACTGGTGTACTTGTAAAGTTGTCGTGCGCAAGCTGGATGATTGCTGATTTAAATTTCGACAAAGGAGAACTGTCAGGTAGACCACAGTAGATTTTGCTTTCTTCATGCTCAAAAGGGTTCGTAATCCATTTGCATGGCATTCGATTACGAGGAAATTCCGCTGATTCCAGTCAAGAAGAGGCTTTCCTACTCGATGCGAGACACGCAAGGATTCTTTAAAGTAAGAGTTTACGACTTTTTACTGCTGCAACATTAGCAATAATAGCAATACCCTCTTTACTATCTCGCCAATATATTGGTGATATTCCTATCTTATGCAGTTCAACCGCAACTTAGCAGGGGCGAACTTCGCATTCACATTACATAAGAGTTAGTTAAGATAAGATGCTAATGAGAAATACTTGCTTACCAACACATTTTTCAATTTCAAATTCTGATGGGAAAGTTCTTTACTATGGATAAAGCACAAAGCGTCAACGATTTGCACAGCCCAATGTAACACTTTATTCCTCGTACGGAAAGGGGCCTGGTCACGATTAGACAAAATGTATTTCTCGATGGAATCCTTACAGAGCTCCGATACCATCACAACTTTGGTACCCTCTGGTCCTCTGAGAAGATGTGTCCCATAAAACTCCACAATACTTGGATGTCCGCGTATCTCCCTGAATCAGAAAGAAGAGATATAAAATAACTCATTTTATTTATGATGCAGCTCCTTTTGGTGAGGGGGTGTGGTCACCAGTAGCGAATATCAGAGAAATTGATTAATTTTTCTATGCTACAACTTAATAAGTAATTTCAAATTGGAAAAAAAGAACAAACTGCTTAAACGAACGGCTCAGTAGTATTCAGAGTGTTGGAGGAAGAATATTAACGCTGCTGCGAGAATTTTGAGCATTACCTGTTCTGTTGCCTTCAAGATTAAATGGGATGGGAGGATGTGGCCTCAAAAACAACAATTTTTTCGATTTTGTTTAAGACTAGTTGGTCCCAGTAACACAAGTTTGAGTTAAGGCAAAAAAGAGGCTTTAATATAAGAGGCTTATTCAACGCATACATCATGGAAGTGCTTTAGTCTGACAAACCTCATAGTCATATCTTCATTCCAAAATTGCCCCACGTTTTCCTTTGAAAGAAGATCTGTGTGAACTCTCAAAGCGACCTTTATTTCCTTTTCTTCCTTACGGGAAAGTACACCAGAGTAAACTGTGGACAAGCTACCTCTACCGACGATGGACCTGTCATCTTCTGTCCATTTCAAATCTCCGTCAGAAAAGTCGGATCGCCTTATTTCTTTCAAAGCATAGACGATCACTTCTCCCTTCAGTGACTCTAGTTTCTCACCTATAGGCTCATAGAAATTCTGGATGTCAGCCTTACTTCTCGTGTCCGACAGAAGCTGTCGGTACAGTTGCTCGTCACCTTCTATTAATTTAGGAATTTTCTCTTTTATCTGATTTAAAACCTGCACCGAATCTTCAAGTTGTTCTGTTATAAACGGAAGGAGACGGTCTTGGTCCGAGAGAATTTCAAGAGAAGCTGTACATCTCTCAGACATGTGGGTGCATGGGTCGGTCTGGTACTTACTAAGCTTTCTGGAGAAATCCAGCCTCTCCTTCAATTTTGACACAAGTTTACTCAACGGAGAGCGAATTACAACAGATGCTAATCCTTGCCGGAGCCACACAGGAGTTTTACTCGCAATGGGACCGTTTTGAAATCCCTCTTCAGGGATGCTTAGGGGGTTAGCAGTGCGTATTTCTTGCTGGAAAACCTCCGCCGTTCCGTTTTCAAAGAGAACTTCGTCTTCTACTCTGCGGATCTCTTCCTCCATGATGTTATACTTCTCACAAAGATTTTTAATAACTGTGTCTTGGGCTTTAGCGAACTCGTGCTCTTCATCCTCCCACTCTTGAACGAACTGATGAATCCGTTTCGATGCAGGAGACCACTCGCAAAATCGGGTTGATGTGCCCGTCGCTTTAAAGTAAAAAGCCAACCTTCCCGTAATCTCCCAGATTAATTGCGTTTGGTATTTACCGAGTTCTTTTATGGTTTCATTTTGGGATCTTTTTAATTCTTCCATTCGTTTCTTGATCTCCCTCATTTTCCGATCTTTTTCCAGCCGTGACAAAGTTGTTGATCTGATTGATAGCGTAACTTGACGAGAGACACGAGATAGAAGATCATCGAGCCATCTGTAATCCGAAAAGACAAGTTGTCAAAAGAAAAAAATTAAATATTCAATGAAAAGTAACAATCGTTTCGAATTTGCTGTGAGCGATAGGAGGCCTGTATGATTTCTTTCCAATCGTAGTGCGTGAGTTTCCTTCAAGAACTCTTTTGGGAAAATTTAACACGGCGCGCTTGTTATTGCAGCGTGCATGACAAGGAAATTGAATTGGTTCCTCTCATATATTCATGGGTTGAGTCGAACCAAATTTGAATGGTATTGCATGTGGTCTTATTAACTGAGCTAACCATTTTAATTGGCCACCGTAGATAGCTTCCTTGATTTGTTTTTGGGAGGTATCCTCTATTGTTTCAAAACCTACCCCTTAAGAGCATGTCCTCAATTCCAATTAAGCCGTCTTTATTTACCTCGTGTAGATGTCCAAGTTATTCTGCATGGAAGACACTAATAAATTGCTTATCCCTCTGATCAGGTCATCAAAGTCGCTTCTTATAACACCGTATTCCTGTGCCAATTGAGCATCTTTGCACGACAGGTAAACAACTTGTAAGTGCGGGTCGAGTCCGCCCAACTTTTTGGTGAGCCTTTTGATTTGTTCCAATTTCACCTCCTCTACTTCATGGGGTTTAATCTCGTCCCATTTGTTGCAAACGAACAAGGCACAACCAGCAAACAGCTTTAAGTCCATCTTCGCTTCTCTCTTGCAGCTCGCAGCATTGGATAGTAACTTTCCCAGCTATTCAAGAAAAAAAAATAGACGAGCAGATGCCTTTCAAGTTATAGAATATAATCAGGACTGATTAAGGAGGAGAAATGTAAGTCATCTTCGTAGCCTTTAAATACCTTTTTAATCAAAATTGTAGAGACTTACGGGCGTGATCTATTGACTTACGTTTAAGCATAAATCGAAGGGAGAAGACTTGCTCCTTAACTGATTTTATGAACCCTCTGACGTGCACTGAAGTGGACAGTTGCCTAGATAAAATCTTCTCATAAAATGTAAAAAAAAAGGGGGTAGCATTCACCCCTTTTTGTTTTACGATTACCTACGTAATCTAATTCTTATCAGCATAAATGTACTCTACCAAAGAGAAAAGCGATTTGCAAAAACAGCACCTAGAGACGGGTCATGTAAGGGGAGGGGGAGGAGGATTTTATTGGTGTCACAATAAAATTAACCTGATCCCCCTCTTGTGGTCTATGGATCTGATGTTCCACCATCATTGGTTGCAATTTTCAGTAGTCCCGCCTTTATACTCTTTTAGCGACGACTGGTTACCCCTCCGCTCCCCCTTAAAACCCTCCGATGCCTCCAAAATTCTCCGATACCCCTCTCCCCCAAGAAAAAATTAATGACTGGACCCTAATCTCAGTCAACAAACTGTTTCATTGGAAAACTGTGGTATATTACTCTTTTCTTTGTATATGTCATTCGAACTGGAACTGATACTAATCATTTGGTTACAGTAACCAAGGAAGATTAAAGAGCTGCATTAAATGATCTTTAAAATAGCCACTTACTCTGTCTTCCTGAACTCCTCCAGCATTGGTGCTGTTGATGACATAAATAAAGCAGAAGGCATTCGGAAGGTAGTTAAGGACAGCTTCATTCATGGCATTATTATCTCCCACTCCAGGGCTATCAACAATGATGACACGCTCCTAATAAACACAGGTAAAGCCGTCTTAATTAATTAAAAATCACTCCTAGATACAGCACATCGCGGTATCCATTTCGATGCATCAATTAACATATTCTTTCTATTCATGCGATAGTTTCGTTTAAGTAAAGGGCCTGGAGTGTGTAAGTGTAGTAAGATGTATGGTAGCAAGGATGGTACGAGAAATTTCCTCATTTTGGGAGACCTGGCACAGACAACTGGGTGGTAGAAGATAAAGTAAGTTTAATTTTTTGATTGGCTAATTCCGCACACTTCAGCGGTCTGGATTTTCTCATCTGGACATCGGGTACGGGATACTCCAAGTTTTGCAATTTGCACTTTTCAGCCTTTTCACGAGAGGCTAAAAGATATACATATTGTAACAAGTGACACACAATTGTGGACTCAGACAGAAAAAGTTTTCAGTTGAAAACAAAAGCGCATTTTTTCACCCTGAAGAGGAAAACATACATCATGATAAAGAAAATTATGTTCGTTGTAAAACGCTGAGTATAGTTTTGAATTCTGCCACACATATACACTTTCACTACGTCTTTGCAATTCTCTTGAATTTGGTCTTTTCTACTTAAAGTTGCACCATGGAAACCGAAGGAATTTGATGAGCAAAAAAGTCCTTCATTTGACTACATTTTTTCGTTAGAAGAAATACAAGATTTACACACGCCATTTACGCAAACAAATGAACAAACAGACGAGGACGACGGTGCCGTAATTACAGCCCTCAATAACACGGGTTCTTTTTTATAATCTTTTGTTAAGTTGAAGAAAAAAAAATTGAAACTACATTCACCATCCCAAGTCGGTCCGCATTGGGAAAAAATATGCCCTCTGTCTCAAGCACCCATCTCAGCCTACGGCTCAGGCGGTACCCAAGACCTCGGGTACAGTTGTTTCAAAAACGGAAATATGTTTTTTTGCATTGGAAATATCTTGCGTTGGAAGGATGGAACCAAAAGGTGTGGTAGATATCCTCTCAATTGGTTCCTCTTACTTCGTTCTAGAGACGGATAAGCGGTTGATTTTTGCCAGGTATGATTTTAGAAATAACTTGTTCGAGAGACAAATTTATTCAAAGGTAACTTTGCAAATAAAATAATGCAATAGATTTTAAAGAAAAAGAATCAACCCTGTCACCTTCTCTCCAACACTGATCAAAAAGAAGAAGCTGTCATATTGATTGACCATGAATCACAAAAATTCAGAAAGAAGAAAATAAGATTTGCAAATTTAGGGCGTACTCAAAAATAACAAACCTGGAACAACGGATGCGGCCAAAACAGCTCGATCTTCTTGTAAGGAGATACTCTCCCACGTTCATTCTTTTCACTCACAAGACTATTTATCTGCTCCTGGAAGGACTCTTTAGGACCAACTAATTTGTAATACATAGTTTCACGAGAATCGTTAAAATGTATGACAACCTTGGGGGTTTTATCATACTTGAGCTCGAACATTGTCGATGTTGTACCCAAAACGGCACTTGGTAAAATCTCTTCGCCAAGTATTAGGTTGATAACACTACTCTTGCCAGCACTAGTCTCACCTGAAGATTAAAAATTCCGTGGAAACATGAAATGCTTAGAGAAAAGACTTGTTATTCTAATATTTGCCTTTACAAATATATCCATGAAATCCCTCAGTCCTCTAAATTCCTACCTGCAACAAGCACCACATACTGATCCCTTGGCGCAAGACTTCTGATGTTTTCTTCTAGAGCCGTTTTGATATCTCCCAAACTTGTTTCAAGAGGATTTATGAATTCATCATCGAGCTGGTTTAGTATTTCTCTCGTTTCAATGTAAAGACGTAGAAGCTCACTTCGTTTGTGTTCATCAGCTTTACCAGCTTCGGAGATCACTTCAAACGTCTAAAAGGAAAAATTGAAATCAAAACGTCTCGATGTAAAAGACAACGAAATAACACATTTTAAGGTATATTTCCATACGTTTTGCATTTTTTCTTTTAATCTAGATCCTAATTGTGATAAATTAATAAACAAATATTAATGATATTGATAATAATAAGTATTTAGATTAAATTCCAACTACAAAACAACTTAATTCCCACGCCTTCTCCTAAGTAGGATATAAGTAAAATAAATGAGAAAATAAATTATAAATAATATTGACGATAAAAAATGCTTAAATTTGGTAAAATTTACTTTAAAATGCAACCGAGAAAATAACTTCATGCATTCGTAAGTCTTCTCTTAATAAATCATATATGATTATGACATAGCTAGTAAATTTGTCTAATCAAATTCAATTGCACGAGCGTGCTTCATATTACTATTGTGCACGCTCATGACGTAAGCAATCAAATCTTTGAGAGAAAAAATTTTCCATCCGGTTGAAAATGTTATAAAACAATTGGTTCATACGTCAGCTGTGCGTTCATCGAGATATGAAGCACTTGGGAAGTTTGGAGAGCACTCAAGAAGGTAGAAGGTTGGTGCTCTCCAAACTTCCCGCGTGCTTCATATCTCGATGAACGCACGCTGACGTATGAACCAATTGTTAAACATAGACTGGCAATAGATACATGTAGGAAATACGTGTGGAAAGAAGAAAACAATAGGAAAAAGCCAGCGTCGAACACTCTGTTCTCGTAGCTGTCAATTCCCTGTTACAACTTAAATGTCTTTGATACATAATGACTGTTTTGTCGTTCAGATACAACGCGAAGGTTTGAAACAAAGAAGATGAGACATCCTTTTTTATCTTTATTTAATGCCGTCATTTTGTGATGGAAGGTCATCATACATGGACAGTCCCACATATCACTCGACTTAACTTGCCTTCCTCGATTCCTGACGTTTTTCTTTGATGTGTTTATGAAGTTTTTCCTGTATTTCTTTTATTGTTTCGAAATTTTCTGTTTTCATACCAACAGCAGCTGCAATCTTGCAAAGCTCTCCTAAGTCCCGTACTTTGTCTACTGCTGGTAACTGTCGTGATCCTGAACCAGTAGCTTTAAGATGAAAAAGAAAACAGAGAATGATACTAGACATATATATTATTTTTATCAATAGTTTATGATTGTGAAACCTTCTCTAAGAAGCACCATCTTTTTACTTTGTATTCTTATAATGTTTTAATTTGGGGGCGTGTAAAGTAAAAGTAAAAGCAATATTCGTGCTTTGTAAAATATTAGTGTGTTTCAGGGATCTCTACATGTGGAGCGGATCTTAAAGATTACCAAGAAAAGCGCCAACTGCCAAAATTACAAAATCTGAAGTTCCTGCTATCAATTGTGCAGGAAAAACCCTCTAGCCAGTCTAAATTTAACCGTAAAATGGATGGTGCATCTTTGACTTCTTTGAGCAGAAATTGCTTGAATTTTGCAATTTCTCGGCAATCTTAACACAGAAAATGTTACATAAATGAAAAATTTTTGCATGAGGGGTACCCTGTATCGACTCAGTTAATTTGAGATTTCGAAAATCAAACGTGTAATACATGTGTTTTAAGGACAATTGGCCTTTATGAATTCACTTGGGGTTAATGTCGCCGTTAACATTCTTTCTGGTGGAGTCGATAGTCCTGCTTCGGGTAAATGTGGATCAGTGCCTAATGTAGATGGCTTGCATAGTGCAGGTGCCCTTCTATTAGCTGGGGAGTTACCATTTTGCGCTCTTCCGACGAGAGCGCTCTCTGTTAACTGCGGCGATGTCCCTGAATCATTCTTCTTTTCGACGATGGGATGAAAGTTTTTCATCATGGTCTCTTTGATGGCCTGATGTAAACCGCTGAAACCTTTTTGCATCGCCTGGTGAACATCATCACCAGTCCTTTTAATGGCCTGGTGTACACTATCAAGTCCCACTTGAAGAGCCTTTTCAATATTATTTATTTCCTCTTTGCTTCTTACTTCATTTTCGTACATTTTTTTCAACTCTCTAACTTTACTCTCATCCTCAGGCGTTAGCGGAGCTGTATATAATTTTTCAATCGCTCTTTCCCATGCACTTCTAGTTGAAGGACTAATCGAGCGTGCTAGTCTCAAAAGGGCCTCCCGAATGTCGTTCCATAGCGAATTAAACTCGGTGTCATCCATTTCCATGTCAGAGTAGTCATGGAAAATTTTGTTGCGGTATTGTTTAATTCTTGTCAAATCGGCAGCTTTAGAGTGGTCTGTTGGTGGTGGAAAGGCATCCCACCCAGATGCTGGTGGATTAAGGTTACAAATTGTTTTAAATAGTTTGTGAAGGAGGCTGATGTCGAAGTCTTTCGAATTTTTATTACATGTTCCAGTTTTTGGATAAAGGCAGTCCATTTGTGGCTTGGTTAGTTTTGCCCTCTTAATCTTGTTCTTAACGAAAGGAACGTTTAGCTTGAGATGAAACTGAAGCGGTGTGTTGAAATACTGATCAAATATTTCTCGCATTAGAGCTGTGCCTCCAGCCACTAATAGTCTCGCAATCCGCTGGAAGTTTGCTTTCTTGTGAGTTGTATGAAGGACTTCATATGATGCACCTGTTGGTGCGGCAGCCGCCATGTTGCTCTTACTGCTTAAGCTATAGTTGGATCCTTTTTTCCGCTTAGAAGATTAACGCGGATTTACGGTGATAAGTTGAACGCTGAAACCAAGGAAAAACATTTTGAATCAAATATTAAGCTTTGTCACAGTAAATTGACTTAAAGAAGCTACACAGAGTTTTTAACCGCGGGAGATCTGGGTGCGAAAATAGCGCGAGCTTTGAAAGTGTCAATATGCAAAACAAACATGACAGCTCGATACGATCGTGCGATTGTTGCCTGAAAAGGTGTGCTTAAAAGAGTTCAACACAATGCAATTTTTATGTGATGGAATCTGGGGTTTCCAGCGACTGCACCCGTAATATTCATAGGCCTTCTACGCCTGAAAAAAGGGCAAACGAAAAGAAAACACTGTGGGAAAAATTGCCAAAAGGTGACAGATCGCGACCGATTCAAAAGTTTACGCATGCTCAGATATAGACCTTGGCGAAGTTCTATTCCATTGCGAAATGTTTTGCGACAAAGAAAATAGGGATCTTCCGAGTAAGATTTATCGCGTTTCCTTGAAATGAAAATTTTGAGAGATTTCACAGAACGAAATTAAAGAAAGTCAAAGGCAAAGCCAAATTATCGCTGACGAGTACCTCCCTTCGTGAAGCCTTAGCTTAATAACGAAAATCATTTTGATAATCGCGGAGCTCACAGCGCGTGCAGCGTTGCCCCATTATTACAGGAAATAAGAGTAACCCATCAAGCCGAAAAAATTTGGACTTACGACCGCACGACCGACCGACCGACTTTAAGAATGCGCAGCCAACTACATTGCGGGCATTTTCTTGGCCATTATGTGATGGAAGGGCGAAGGAGAAGGTAATGCGCAGGCGTGATTGCGTGCGTAATTTGGACACCATTATTGTGCACCAGCTCTGCGCCAGAGACACCAGCAGATGACTATGAAGTGCGCATACTCGAGTGCCGAGTTTTGGTGCACCTTACCGTGTGCACGAGGGCTGCTCATGGGCTAGTAGATGTAAAGCCGCGTTAAGCTGGTAACCCACTTAGCGATTTTATACACAGATCGCGGCGATGCGCGAAAATCGCCTGGTGTGCCCGGTGCAGCGATTGCAATTTTCGCCGATCGCCGCGATCGGCGTGTAAAATCGCATATATCTGGAATGTCAGATATCAGCGATTAAATTCGCAGGCATTCGCCAAGTCTGCCCGTTCTCGCAATTTTCTCCCCTTTCCACTGCGAGTCGCCAGTAAAATTAACCAATCATCACATGACTTTTCAAAAGAAAAAGAAGTCATTTGACCACACTGTCGAATTAAGTGAGTGACACCCTCCGAATTTCATTAGTAATTAAGAACGATAAATCCGTATTTCATATTATGTAGCGCAAGTGAAGCACATTTACTCTACATTTATAAATGCTGCTTTATTTTATTTAACGGTTCCTTTTTATGTAACATATATCCATTCTTTTAATTTCCTCCCTAGTCATGACCATTACAATTTCTTCAAATATGATTGGTGCATCACCTGCTCTGTATTTCACTAATCACTCTGTACAGTTGTAATCGGACAGTGTTAAATCGGACAATTGGCTGTAATAAGACACCCAATCATACTTAGTCCATTCAGCTAAATCCACCAATCACAGAATTGATCACAATAACCATAGCAACAATCACTTGCCCTAAAAAAAAACTGGGAAATTTCCAAAATTCTTGCTCTAGACATTGTCTCTACTGAAGATGTTTGTCCTAATTTTTTTCGGAAGTTGTAATGGTTGTGATTAATTGGTAACAGGACTTTGTGTCGCCCAATTCTGTCTTTGTCAATTCGTGATTGACAAATCGGTCTCCCGCTTCGCAGTCGTCCGATTTTGTTAATCACTCGTATGATTACAGACCGAATTGAACTCCACTTAATATTATTACCATTATTAACCAGCCTGCAAATAATTAAATTTTATGTTTCAATTCATATTTGAGAAGATAAAACAGAAATAAAGAAAGACGAAAAAATCTTTCTTTATTTCTTTACCAAGCTCAAAACTTACTATCTCTCTTATTTCTACCTTAAACAGAAATGTTGCAGAGTTCTCTTTCCAGATTGAACTCGGGTGAGAAGAAAAGTAAACTAGTAAATGTCACGTGCTTCTCCTGAATCTTTAATTTTATTGCTCTGGTTTTTTTCACAAAGCCTCTTTTACATCTCTGTGTGCCAGCTTATGATTAAAATCTCAGTGAATAGATATGCCATATCTTAGTAGTTTTTTTAAAATTCCATCTTTAATTTTTTTGCATTTATTATTTTAAAATTTATAAATGGCATTCCCTTTTCATCCTTATAAGGAGGCATTACCCATTTCTTTACCTAAAATCTGAATCATGAAGTCATGTTAATTTCAATGAATTTTAAACTTCACTGTACATAAGAACACTTTACTGGAGTAAAATTTTATATCTGCTGTCTTTCTCGTACATAGGACTACCATATGTGTCTTAAGATAGGAGATTCCTTTGTATTACAATGATTAAATGTACAAATGCTTTCAAATGTCAAAAAAAATTGTGATGAGAATCTGGTCTTAGGAAACACTTACAATGGAAAAACCTATTGCTGGCAGCTTAATACATGTTTAATGTTTAAATTTTTGTGGGAAATGATTTTTTTTAAGGGAGATATGGAAGTTTTCAAAGCTGCTAGAAATAAGCTGTTTGCAACTAATGAAAAGCAAATTAACAATTATACCTTAACGCTTGACACGCTTCACTCGTGCATGTCAGTTGTGCATACCTATCAATAAAGAGGTGAAGAGGAGTCTTTAAGAATATTTTTTGGTATGGCTGTTATTCTTTGTTGATCTTTGTAGCCAAAAAAGCTACTAAAGACTCTGAACTTCAATTTTTATGTACACAGGGCACCCTCCAAGGTGGAAGACTGGAAGACCATAGAATGATGTTTACTAGGCACTTGCACTTAACGCAATCTTATGTTCAAGCAATACTCTACATTTATAAAACTGATTACATGAAGTCTTTAATAACTGTACACATTTTATATGTTCCTCGCATTTGTTGGCAAAAATAGTTAAGATGTTTAGGAAAGTAAACAAACAAATGAACAGAAGACAGTGAAATGAGGGAAACTGTAAACTTTGCCTTGTGATAGAAAAAATATCACAGAATACTTAAGAAGGGAAATTTGAATTTTACCAACTAATTTCTTCTACTTCCCTTCATGTTTTTGATCAAATAAAATTGAATCAGTTGTAGGGTTTGCCTAGTTTTTCAGCATGTTATTAAGATTTTGGATTCTACATTCAAACTGGGTGAGATTAAATTTGTTCATATCATGCATCATTATGGTTTGTTTACATGGAAAGGTAAATCTTATTGTAGCTTCACAGATGTTTTCATTGCTTACACAATTAACATGCATAACAAATTTTCATTTAACATAGAATGTTTCAAGAACTTTCTTCATTTCTCTACATTTTCTACTGTATCTGGAGCACAATTAAAGGAGGCAGGTTTTTAAAGAAATTAAAACTTTTGATTTAAGTAATTATTTAATTATGTGAGTAACATGTGATGTTTTCACATGAGACAGGATGATAAAGCTGAAGCCTCAAAAAGGAGTGAACTTGATTGTAACAATTAGGGACTAATTTGGAAACTGAGCTCTCGGTAAATATACCTTGGCCTGCAATTTGGATAATTACAATTTGCTAATTAAGGTAATTAAAATGTCAGTCCCCATGCAGGAACCTTCCACATGACCTGTACAGTCATATACTGTGAGCTAACTTTAAAAAAATGTATTTGTGTCCATTTGGTAGAACTATTGTGAATACAATACCACCTAATGACAATTTTTAATGATTTCCTGTAAGCATGAATGGTTGGGGGGAGTTATGGTGGTAATTGACCCTATTTTTGCCAGGGTGCATAAGGTTTGATGATTTTTATGTGTATCTTTCAGCTTCAAACTTTCAACTTTGTATTAAATTTAACTGTTTACCGTATCTGTTTCTCTGTACCTTAAGCCCTCAAAAGTTGAAGCAGGTGAGTCTATAACCGACTTCCTTTGTTTGGAATTGTGTGATTATATGATTTTTCTGTGTAGGTAACCACATTGAAACATGTAATATTATTATTTAGATCGCATTAAATAATCTCTCTCAAGCTTTCAATAGTGCATGGTGTTTCCTACGAATTCTCGTACCCAAAATAAACATTAATATAAGGAATTGGTCACAAGATATGTGACCGCATAATGCACAAAGCAAGAGCATAAATACCTTAGCTTTATCGGTTAGAAAATCAAAATAAGAGAGATGGGCAGACCATATCTAAATTTTAATCCTTCTCTGTATATTTACTCAACATAGTCACTATCATTTTCATTCACTCTCACTGTCCTCTGAGCTTGAGGAAAGATGAATTTTTAAATGAACGAAGAAAAGTATGTCCTCTTACCACAGATAGTTCTTCTATGCATGAGCAAATTTCTATTTTCAAGCATTCTCTTCAGTTTGAAATTCACTTAAAATAAAATTAACTCCCTGGAGTGATTCACATGCTACTTCTCCCTACATAATCCATGACTATCGGGGCAAAAAGGTAACGAGAATTCTCAAATGTATCAGGTAGAAGTTGTTATCTTGATCTAACACCAACCTCTGGTCACTTATTTACAAGGAAATGCGTCGCAGCTGGAGGGAAGAGTTAACAATCAGATCTTCGGAATTAAAGGGTTAAACATACTTACATACTTGTGGGCATAACTTTTGTAGTAAGCAAATAAAGATTATTTAATGAACCAAACACATTTTATTCTGTCCAGTTATCTTCACCGCAACCAAAGTTATGCCTTTTATTGTTCGTCAAGGTGCGGCTTGGTTATTTTCAAAAATTCGAGGAAGTATGATATTGCGGAACTATACTTGAGTAGCAACTAGCTAGCTTCACTTGTAATCACAAAAAAATAATTACAGATGACACAAAGAATCATAAATAGACAATATGGCAAAAATGGTTCTGTTTTTATAAAAAATTACAATCGATAGCAACCCAAAGAATCTTCAGAGTCTGAAGAAATACCATCCTTTTCCTAGCCTGCAGAGCAGGCGTAATTTTGGCGAGTGAGTGCTCAGTATTTTCATAGCGAAAATTATGGCCGCCATGTTTGATTTTAATGGCACCAAGGAGGCGGTCGACGTTCAAAAATGAAGAGAGTTAGGGGTGGGAGGGGATGGGTGAATATTACTTTTCGCCCTTCCCCGCCCCCTACCCCCACCGTCCATTCTTCCTGCAAATCAAACACAGGTGGTCGGATAAATGATCGCAAGCTTACAACGTTAGCGCGCACTAATAAGACGCCTGCACTGAAGGCTATCCTCTTCCACGAGTTCTTCACTATTCGATTCGCTCCCGTGGTGGTCTAAAATCTCCTGTTCACTTTCATCAGAAAAACGCGATAAAGCCTCGTTAGGATCGTCCTCTAACACAATCCGCCGTGCCTCCTCGACTGGGATCCATGTAAACGTCACTTTTAAACGGATAGAATTGCGTGTGCAAAATTTTTTCACATAAAACTTATTTAGAAAAAAAAATTTTAAAAATTTAGATGAAAACAGCGAGAAATACAGCCACGAATGGAGAAATGTGACTTGCAAAAGCATAATAATCTTTACGAACTCAAAACAATACTATCTGGGGGTCCCCTGAGATTTGTAATATTGATAGGGTCAAAGCATATGAATTCGTATGTTTGCCAGTGAAAGGGACAAGAATGAGTTACCGGACACAATTATGGCTTTTCATAATGATAGTTTCCAGATTTTAAAAAGTCACTGCCTACTAGAATCCTCAGTTCCTTTGCCGTGACAGCCCAACCTCATCAAAACATTAGCAACAGGAGCATTCAGAAAATTAATGATACAGGCAAGAGAGCCTATTCCACATACACTCTCCTAAATTCTGTTAGCTTATCATAGATATGGCATTTCAAACATGGTGTATATGCTACAAATTTTCCATTTCCCACCAATTATTTTGCAATAGTGTTTACAAGTTGTGGAAAATGGTGGGGTTAAAATATGATACAGACTTACTGGTATATTGTCAAATGAAAACTTTTCAGTTACACATCAACAACATTAATTTTATATTTGTGTTTCATGTTAACATGTTGTAACCACTCTACCTTCCAGTAAATTTAATTCTTTGCAAACATCAGAGAATGCTATCTAGAACTTTTAGACCTGTTTATTATTATAATAGCCAATAACAACATCAACTCAACTTTTAAACTAAACAGAAAACTTGATTGATGTTTGGAATCTTCTACAGCCAGTGTTTTTTTTAAAGTTTTAATTTTAATGAAAGGCTAGAAAATAAACTAACAAGAGCTCCACTTTTAGGTTTGGCTAGATCTATACATTATTTACTACAGCAGTCAATGGTCCGAACCTTGCTTATTGCCTTTTGATTGCTTTTAGTGACCTTGAAAAGCGAAAACATAAACATTTTGTAGAAAACGTCACGCTGGCGCGCGCGCCAACTTGAGCTAAAACCCTATGAAGCCTGCTTAAATAATTTACCAGCAGGGCACTTGAAAAAATATAATTAACACACTTTCCACATATAGACCCTGAACAAAACTTATTCCATTCCTTCAAAGGTATTAAATTGCCAAACTATAATGTTTCACCGTCTGAAAGACTGTTTTTCGTTTCTCTCAAGCCTCTTCCATATCCACATCTTTAGTTACTTACATTTTCCTATCATACGCGTTTCCAATGAGTTCTCGCAGAGTGAGAGCAACTCTCATGAAGCAATTGGGAGGTATTATGGTAAGCTACTAAAGGTCTTTCAATTGGAAAATTTACAGGATGGTGGATGTTTTCTCGTCCCGATGCGAATGATGTTGTTCACGTTATTTTCTAGAGGAATTTGAAGAGCGATTTTCTGCGGTACACTAGTAGAGAAATAGTAACAACAAAACTTGCACATTAATTGTATGCTCAATTACAAAGGATTAATGAAACATTGGCATCTACTTGAACTCTCTGCCTAATTAGTCCGCCTGTTTGCAGTTGTCGCTGTTAATATCCAAACATTATAATATTTTTTTGTGTAACTTTCACAATACGCAACCTCTATTGATTAACAGTAAGCAGCCTTTCTGCTTTGAAGTTTTCTATACTGTTTTAAATTGGTATAGAGCCGTTCAAGTCTAAAAACCTGAGACATCTTGTTAACTGTGACCCTAGGTTTATTTTGAATTAACAGTATACCGAATGAATTAACCATACTGCACTGTATTCCTCGTATTGCACTGTTAATTTCGTACTCAGATTTAGTTAGATAAGGAAGCTAAGTTTTAGCGAATGTTAATAAAGAAAAAAATCATTCGAAGAGAACGAGCTGATCAGCCGACGAACACCTGAGAAACTTCGATATTTATTGGTAAGACAAGTAGTGCTTCTAAGTGAGCGTCTCAGAACAAGACAAATTTTCACAGAGAATTCCAAACTCCAGAGACGTCAGTTGCTACGTTCTATGTTCTAAAAGCGAGGGCAAATTTATTACTCCTGCTAACAGAGAAGTGATGCGAAAGGAAATATGGCAATTAGAAAATATTAAGACAATATCGTGTGTTTCGTAAATTAATAACAACTGTAATGAAATCCGAGATGCCTTGTAGGAGGCTCAATTCAAGATGTCTTTATGATTGAATAACATCGTAGCACGGAGTAAGTGTTTCAGTCATCAAAAATGAAATTGGTACTTTGACGTGTTTTCTTTGGAACGACTGGTTCATTATTTGCATGTTCCCTGAACGTGTTATCGATGAATATGCGGCCGTCTCGAATTAACATTTGCACGGGAAACTTGCACAATGTTGTCCCTTAATCGCCAAAAAAATAACTACATTCAAAATCCTACCTTATTCGAAGAAAGAGGAGTTGAATTCGTTGTGGTGAAAGAATATTTCGCCTTTAGGCTTGCCTCATCCTTTCATGTGTAGCGCCATTCTTGGCCAGTGTATTAGAAATACGATCTCCTTTAAGAAAGTAGATTTTTAGTTTTAAGACCCTCGCGGCTATGTCGCCTAAGGATTCAAAGCGCACATGAAACCGTTAGCTTCCCACCCCCCCCCCCTCCCTCATAAAAAAAAGAAAAGTGACAAAGGGCCGGGTCGCCTAACTGACGTTTTGGCAGATAATTGTCTACTCAAGGGACCAAAATCTGTCAACACGACTGTTTTCTGATGCGACCCCTCATTTGTGATTTTTCAAACTTTCAAAATAGGGAAAAAACATCAAAGACGCCGGTGTGCTTGGGTGGGCTGTCCAATTTTTCCAAATCTCGAAAAACCAAAGGAGCCCGCCACCAAAGCTGTCAACGATTGAAAAGAATTACTCCCAATTTAGACGGCAAAGTCACGCACGTGAAAAAGAGCGAATTTTCATCATTCACAATGATGTTTTCATTGCGTGCAGTTCGAAGCTACAGCATGGACAGGCGAGATTTTCCCTATCCTTAATACGGTCATCAAATGCCAAGTGAGCAGTATTCCTTCCTTCAGGATCTGAGCAACACACCCCTAATTTGGCCTGTTGTGAGCGTCTGAAAATAGAAATTTTTTTTCTTGACAAGAATCATCTACACTTTTTCCAAGTTCAGACTGGCATGGCAATTTCAGGTTTAAAAACTTCCCATTTCGTTACCTACACAAGTAAAAGGATATTTATTGTTGCAATTAATTTTAATGATAAGTTTTGGGAGACTGTTGCAGCACCAGTTTACAAATTTCATTGTCAGCAAATAGTTCATCCTTTCCCAATGGAAGCCTTACCTAATGACAATTTCCACACAAAATAGTTATCTCCAGGTCAAGAAGATAAAAAAATTCAGTAAATAAAAGTTTTTGCTACCGCAATGCGCTCCTTACTTAATGCTTCTTCGAAATAAATTAGTTAAAGCAGCATAAACTAAAGTAATTCTATGCAACATTGGTTTTAACAAAAGAGGAATAACTCCTAAAATAATTCTAAATTGCTTCAATTTCAAAATGTTTCTTTCAACATGAGTTCTTAGTGATGCCACACGACTTGATCTTTCTAAATATTGGAGGAGTAGAATTTCAATTCCAACTTGAGGAAGAATATTTTGCTTTTCTAGGTACCTACGATCGTTACAACCCCACACAGCACAGTGATCGCCGAGACATATTTCCGATAATATTTGTGTTAACGAGCTTAAAAATGAGCCAGAAGTAGACTGCACAAACTTATTTACCACTGAAAAAGCTAGAATGGGTTATAAACTCGCGATTACTACTTAATTTCGAGATATTTCAAGACCATTACGAGATGTCGATTTCACAAAAAACCTTTCGCAATGAGAGAATTTTATCGGTAGATTTTAGCACATATTTCATTGTTATTTAAATAAAAACTTAAACTTCCCGCGTATCAACATTGCTTTAACCCTTTTCTGATAAAACGACTACAAAAAAGCGCTGAATTCTCTTAAAAAATCGTTTTTTGGAAGCCAAGTCAAATCTTCGCCATATATTTCTTTGCAGCAATTTGCGTTGTTTACCCCGTGGCGATCCCAGAACCCTTTGCGCTAGCAGAGGGATCCGATTACTAGCAACTAATTCATTTGATTTTCCAACCGATTTTTTCAAGCCAAAATAAAAATTGGTCTGTAATGCGACCCGGCCCAAGTAAGTAAATAAGAAGTCGAGTAAAATAAAGATAAAAAGGGCACAGATGGAAGAAGAAATCGAACTGGTTTTCAACACAAATTTTAGGTGCGTGTTTTTGATCTAATTATCATTTCCACAAACTAGACTGTTCCATTGGAACCTCTGAGTCATTGCTCGCAATGACACTGGGTTTCTTGTCGAAATGCCATTGTCACAAACGCAGAACGAATTTAAGAGCTAATCTCAACATGCATCAGACAAACAGCGGCAAGTCACCCAAAATTTGCTTTCACTCCTACTTTCTTACTTTGTAGACCAGTATGTCCTAATAATTGTGGTGTAGTTTTGTTGTGAAATACATTTTGGTTTTCGAGAAATTATTCTTTAGTTCGACCGCTCAAATATGTAATTTTCACCGTGAATATTACCCGAGTTGTGTGACCTTGTGTAACGAATTTACTTGACCTCCGCTATTTCTGTCAACATAATCCTTCGTTTTATCATGTAAACTTAATCCCCGGTCATTATTTAAGCTGGAAAAGAAATACTTAATTTGTGGTGAATATTTTTGTCTGATATACTTTTCTTATGTCGAAAGGTAACATCACGACAAAGACAGTTTTAACAATGACCGATATGACATAATCTACTGAGCTTCTAGCTTTTAAAAGACAAAAGGATGGTTATAAATTTACTGTAAAAATTTCCTTGTGTATTCGTGTTGTTCTACCGTGAGACGAACTCAAAGTCCGACAAAATTTACTTGCCAGCGACTATGAAATATTCATGGTGAGCCTACTTGTCGCCACCGTTTACTGGCATTAATCACTACAATTTACACAAAAATCTAACATAACACTCTTGTTTATTTATGATTTTGTTAGCTGCTTCAATATTACGTTATGCTCACTACATTTTAGCCAAATTTGAGTTCTAGTTTCTATATCTTCTCCATCTTATTATATCAGTTGCATGACAAGCGTGACACATAAATTCAAAGATGAGTCAACCTCCGAAATACCAAAAGATGGGTTTTTTCCTCTTTGCGTGATATCTAGGAAAAACCTTCCAGGATTACCGCATTCAGAAAACTAAAATGTCCAGAGCCATCAATGATTCCTTTTCCGGCGGAAGTTAAAGAGTGCTTACAAAAGCCAATTTGACTGACAAGCTGAAGACTGATTTAGCTAATTGATCTGTTGTATGAGCGTCTTATCTTACATGCTATCATGGAGATTGCTGTTGATTGCTATCGTTCGCTGGTGGAACTTGTGGGTTTAGTTATCGAGAAGACCGAAGTTGCATATCTCTAGTTGTTCCCTTGCGTAGTTGTAAAAAAGACATTTCAACTCACTTGCGGAGTTGCAGGTTTTCAGATCCAGAAAATGAAGTTGATCTGTTTTTTTCGCCTGCCAGCATCTTCGAGATGATTAACGATGATTTTGCAATTTGTCCCACTCATAGATCAAATCTCGATGTTGGGTGGAGTCGTGGTTCCAATAGTAGATGTTGAGTGCTTAAAGAAGTGTCCGGCCATGGTAAAGGTAGGGTTAAGTCGATTCCAAAAGCCGATAGGGGAATTGGCAAGCGTGTAGCACAGATAGTACTCAAAACGTCCCGAAAATTCATAAAACCTGGCTCCGATAAGTAGGCTACTTACCACCTTGTGAAAAATTACGCGTCCCGTCAGACTTAGGTCTCGATTGGAAATTGGTCAATAGGCTACCGAAAATCCATACAGAGGCGAAGTTTTCTTTATTAATGTCTGAGTACTTTGTTGGCTTCCCGCCGTCTGGCGGGACGCGTAATTATGCACACGGTGGTAAAGGGCCCTTCCGCACTAGCTACTAGACGCTGACAAAACTTGTTTCTCTTCACCAAAAATCACATCAAAATTTGTCCTTGCTAAATTTATAGTGTGCTGCACGTGGGGGACCCTTTAAACATAAGAAGGCGGGGGTGTCCGCCGGAAATTTCGTAAAACGACCCCAATAGAATTATAAAAGGTGCCTAAGTCTCATCCGTGTGAGAGTGGCAACAATTGATGTCTGCCCCTAAAAAGTACTAATGCAAACACAAAAAATTGAAAAATCCCTAAAATAGACACTCTTTTATCGATGTGTTCTAGAGGTCGAAGTCAGATCATTAAAATCGTCCAAGTAATGCTTATTTCAGGTATTCTATTGAGTGAAAGACACCGTAAAAGGTACCAGATCGCTGATTTCGACCCCTAAAAGGTAGACAAGCATCCTCAACCACCCATTTTTATCGCCTCCCCCGCCGATTAGGTATGACTGAAAATGGCACTCCGCTTTGATAGGAATTCTTTTGTTGTTGCTTCTTACTTCGTGAAATTATCACTTGAAACTCGCTCGGTAGTATAAAAAATAAAACAGCATGAGTAATACATATGAATCCAAATTATTAAACCACATAAAAAGTTATAGGAGCTGATAGCATCTAAGGGACGGACCATTACATTTTTGATTGGGGGGAGGGGGTCAAGCAATAATCCCCAAAAATATCAAGCACAGTCTTAAGCATCGGGCTCGGGGGAGCTTACTCAATTTGCATTTCAAACGCTTACCCTCTAGGAATTCCTTAGAGGACTGGTCTATTTAGAGGGAAAGGGGGGGGGGGGTGTTAAGAGCCCTGTGCCTAAAGCTCATGAGTGGAGAGAGTTGGTTTTGGTTGGTTATGCTATGGTTTGATTTTCGCATTAAATGGCTAATTTAGAGGGGTCTTTACATTTCATTTTTGTCATAGACGTTTTTGCAGGATTTACCGTCTTATTCCTTGGCGCAAGTCGATATAATATGTCACATTATGATCCCTGTGACTGGAAATTGTTAAGAGGACTCAGGAAAAGACTGAGTTTGCAAGAAAACGTAAAAGAAATCAGCCGTGTCCTTCATGACAATTTGCAAAAACAGGTATCATTTTAAAGTTCACCGCTGAAAAAGTTAAGCCTCAGAAACGTAAACAGTGTAAACTTTGGACCATTCAGTGAGTACACTTTTTCCTTCCATGCCCTTCACTATTTTTGCTTTTTTCTACAGCGTTGTATCTTGTCCTACACTATTTTACTACACAGAGTTAACTTAGCGTCTCTAGACATCATCCTTCAGAATTTCTTATACCTGTTCCGTACTACATATAAGAAAATATTTGTGTGGTCTACACCTTAGAGCTCAAGAGTTATTATTTCATATCAACTATTCTCAAACCGAGAACTACAAGGTGTGATAAACAAAGATACAAATTGCAATTGGTGTCGCTCATTCTCACTGCCTGATCATTATAAATGATTTAAAACTAAATTTTTCCAACTTACACTTTGGAAATTTTTCTTGAACTAAAGAAATTACTGACACTAGAAAATAAGGATGAAAAAATGCTTCGCCCTA